TGAATGAAGAGGATGGAATGAAAGAACGCTAGAATGAAAAAACAGATAAAAACACATCTCTTATTTTCTTCATGCATTTTGAGCTTTAGCTAGTTCTGTCCTTAATATAATGGGTAGTGGATTCATAGTGCCTAAACTGATTATGTTCACCTGTATAGGTCTTTTTTTTAAATGCCATGTGAACACATTAAATTCATGTGGTGTTTTTCTAGGCGTAAAGTAGTCAAGGAGGATGTACCACAGACTAAAAGCTCAATTCGGAAGCTGGAGCTGGACTGGGAAAAGAAGTGGGCTGAGTGTTTGAGGCACACTCCCTTGATTTCTTTCCTCAAGGAGGATCCTGTAAGTATGCGAGTAACTAGTTTACTTGACTGAAGAATGTTTTATTGACTGGGTTAAACTACAGCTAAAATGAAGTGCTTCCACTGTATTGTTTTTTTATTGTATTTTGGCTTCTGAAAAGGGAATTTGTGGCTAAATGCACATCTGTGTCTTTATGTTTGCTAAAGCAAGAAGTTATAAACCAGTGTATAGAAGTTATAAACAGGCTTGCTTTGTCCTTTTTGTGTGTTTTACAGGTTTTGGACTTCCTTTCTCCAATGGCACCTTTATCATTCGAACCAGCCTGTGAAGCTGTCTTTAAGGCTAGTATCTTCTCACAATATCCAGCAAAGCTTCCTGGTAAGTTTATGGACTTCAGTCTAAATTCAGATTTTTTGGCTTTCTTTTGGTTACATGTTTCTCAGTACAACCAAGCCAAAAGTGTTTTGTTTCTTACAGAATTGATAGAACAGGCCCATAAAGAAAAACCTTGTTTGTTGGATGAAGTCAAAAAGGAAGTTGACTTTTCAAGGTGCTGTGATTTCCTGCTGTCCTTACTCGTTCAAACAAAACATTAGCAAGAATTTAAAATGTCTTAACTCTATTTGTTGGCTATTTTTAGTGACTGTTTCTCATTACAAGGAAATTTGTCTCCAACAGCTCTCTTCTAACTGAGGACAAAACTGAAGACTTACTTTTTTCTAGCTGCTTCACCTCACCACAGTGTGCGTCAGCTCACAGGGCACCTCACATGGCACGTCCTGAAATTCTGGCTGGCCTTGCTGAATCCCCAGCAGTTGTTCCCACTCCCAGCTCTGTTCAAGTAGGGTTGGAATTACCAAAGATCCTGGTGTTTGTGTTATTGAACACTGGCTCTCTGATGAATTATATTCAAATAAATAATGATTTTCTGACTTGTGGTGGCGGAAAGCTCATGTTGCAGAGCTTTCCAGCACATTTTTATGCTGTAGCGTATTTTTGATCACTAACATGACTTTGAAAGAAACTGCAACAAAAATCTACAAAGCAGATATAAGAATTAGCTTTGTGTGAAAAAATGTCATGTCCAGCATGGAAAAACCTTGAAGTTTTATTTTTCACAATCCACAGGCCAGCCATAGGAAACCCTTTACTTCACGAAATAAGACATCTGCTGCAAAGCCAAAGACTCAGATTCTGGAATTGGAATATGACAACCTAGCAAGTCAGGTATGTTCACTCTATTCTCAAACTGACTCATCTCAAGAGGTAAAGATTTTCAAAAATGTATGGGAGACTGATACATGGGCAGTTCTGAACTATGCTCTGCCTATCACTAGCTCTCCCTAGATCATACCTGCTTTCTGATGACCGGGGCGAATTGAGGGAAATCGCTACGGACAGATACGGAGCAGACAGTCCTTCTGTTCTTGAGTGTTTTGAACTTGAGAATTCTTCTTAGAATTCAGTACCTCTTCTTGTTTTTTAGTTTGCTGAAGCTGTAACAATGAGTCCAGCGGATGGTAGGAGAAGTGGTATGGAGCTTGAGCAGTTACTAAACACATTGTCTGATCCTTTCACAACCAAGAAACAGCTGCCTCGCACACCAGAAAGCTTGAGTAAGTTTCCCTGCTAGTTTTTAAATGAGGTTTAAGTTCTTCAATTTACAATGACATCATCTGTGCAACAGTATTTCAAAAAACAATACACTTACTATACACTAGCGTTGTCTTCTGAATTGTGAATCTTGTGTACCATATTTTTTTCCCCTTATTTTCCTCTCCAGTTATGGATGTCCGAGCTTCATGGAGGAAAGCTGTAGAAGAAGGGAAGGCTGAGAAAAAGCATGGGAGAGGCCAGGATAGCCTCCTTGTTCTCGTAACACCTATATCTGAGGCCAAAGAGAGAAGCCCCAGTCCAGAACCGTTTTCGCTGAATGGTTCTACAGCGTCAAGTGCTGACCTGCCACCATACAGTCCCCCTCCTTCCCAGCAGGGGGCCTCCCTTCACTCCACAGTCACCTGGAACTCCTCTCAGCTGGAGGCTCTTGACCAAAGCTCCGGCAATATCATACAGCTCAGCATTGCGCATGAGACCTTTCCAGACATGGAAAATGATTCTTTCAACTGCAGTGATGATCAACTTCAAGAAGTCCAGGAAGAGATGGAAGAACTTGTGCTTCCTCCAGTTGTCTCACAATCTCCTGAAGCAGAGACTGCCCTCCAAATGGCTCGGAAACGCTTGGCTACTTTGGGCGAGTCCCCCTTTACAGGGGGACACAGGGAGACTGAGTCTGATGTCTTGACATCAGCAAGAAGAATGAGCCCAGTGTTAAACAGTTGTGGTGGGAAGATGTTTTCTCTGGACTTGGACCAGTTGGAGGGTTTTTCCTCTCCTGTACGAGAGGAGCTCACTCTGCCCAATCTAGTAACATTTTCACCCATGGATGAATTCTAAGTGTGGTCTGGGGTCTAGACAATTCATGGCACAAGCAGTCCCTCCTCAACCTTTTATCACTGTATTTAGTGCCATAGTGCAGGCTGGTTAAGGGGAACTGAGAGACAATGTATGGAGGAAAGGTCCCCACAGCCTAGCTGTAGTGCTTTAGTGTTTCAGCCCTAACAGTTTAACACTTGCCTTACTTTGTCTTAAGATAATTTGTACTATTTTTGTAAAAGTTCATTGCTACATAATGAAGTGACATGACCAGATTGTACAGTTGTGAAATTAAATGAATTGGGCTAATAAATGTAACAAGCTAAATGTGAATGTTGTAATAAAGTAACTTTGTGCAGTCATCCTTTGTGTCTAAATAAAGGGCTCCTATATTATATATTGTGTACATGTATTTGATGTTTATGGTTTTATGTACCAGAAACGGTCTTGATCCTTATTACATTCATCCTTTAGTATTAAAATGTTACTGTGGTTTTAAGATTGATAAATTTCAGTGCGCACTGTTCTGAGTAGCTGCCCTCTGATGTGCCTCTTTGAAAACAGCAGCCTGGCCTCAGAAATGCTCCTTATGTTATAGGTATAGTAGTGTATTTGGCCAACATCTGTGCCTCCCTATACTGTAACAATGAGTCCTGGAGCAAGACTACTAACACTACCTTCACCTACCTCTGTATAGTGACTGAATTGCAAGTCATTCTGGATAAGAGCATCAGCCAAATGCCATAAATGTGAATGTTGCAGTGTAAATGGGCGGGACTAAACTGGTGAAGGCTAAATAAGTGGAAATATTAGGTATGCTAGGTTTGGTTGCTCTCATGATGAAGACAGTGAGCTAGTTTCTATAGGTTATACTGACATTGAGAAGTTATGTATTGAGAAGTTAAAGTGTATGTTTGAAACAAATGTTTAAATTTGTACTGAACCTATTTTTTAAAAGAATATTTTTTCTCTATTTTGGCACTATTTGGCCTCTCGGTTTCCTTAACGATCTCAAATGTAGGTTAAAAGAGAAGTTCACCGATTTTTCAAAAAATTCTTCATAGTCAAATGGTTAAGATGTAAGTCATTCAGAGAGGTTCGGTGTAAAATGCTTCGTTCTAGAGAAACTTTGACTCAAAACTGTTCATAGAGGTTGCGATAGGAACCAGACGCCCAACTCTGAAAGCTCCCTCACAGAAAGTTACACAAAATGGTTATGATTACATTATTTGGCGAGTGAGACGTTGTTTGACTATAAGGTTTTAGTCTAAAAAGTATTTTAATCGATGCTTTGTTTGCAGTGTACTTTCATCTCGTCATGGTGGAAGGATACGTGAAGGGTGTTCTAAGGCAAAATAGTCCCCAAAGAAAACTTTTTTTTTCATATCGACTTATTTTGCTATTATCAGCATTACATGTATAAACTCAGAAGACACGTAGTTAGGTTCAGTGGTGGTTTTGGATAATAAATAAAATGGCTATATTTGTGTTGTACACATTGTGACCCCTGGTTCCTATCACCACCACTGTAAAGAAACCTGAGTGTAAGTTTCTCTACAACGAACCATTTTAGATTGAACCACTCTGTATGACTGTTTACATCTCAACCACTGAATTATGCAGACGTTTTGAAAAATCACTGGAATTCCCCTTTAAGTAAGACTCAGGTTGAGTACTTTAGATGAGTCATTCAGAAAACAACCACACTGTTTTAACCTACCGTAGCGATGTGCTTTGTATTGCTGTGCGGTTAACTGCGTTTGGGAAAGAACAGAAAAGGCACCTGTTACAGTGAGACGCCAAGATAGGGGGCACAAGTAACCTGTGTAACTGAGGGGAAGGCGGAAAAAAGTAGAGCAGAGCGAGTCATTCTTCTGGGCGGCTCCATTCCGCCTCCAGCAGTCAGTCAGTCAGTCAGTCCGAGAAAGCCAAGAGCTCACCAAAGTAACAAAACACAAACATGGCGCCCACTCGCAACGCCACGCATCGGTGAGAGCAGCGACAGCAAAGTGGGGGAAAGTTACCGGGGAGGACCAGGCCACTCTCAGTTTGGACATCCTGCGGACGTGTTTCAGTCAGGAGACGAGCACGGTGAAAGCTGGAAGTTGTCTACATGTCAGCGCTCTTTCTTATAGACGTGTAAACAGCTGGTATGTATGTGCGCTCCCTCTTCGTTAGAGAAGTTCCTGTGTCTTAAAATGCTGCATTTCAAGTTCACTGCAGTAGCTAACGTTAGAGCCGTGGAAGCGACCCGCCTTCGAAACGACAGAACTGCATTTTCGGTGGCGGCGCCTCACTCGCATTAGCTCGCTGGCTTATGCAAGCGCTCAGTTAAAGTGAGTGGTGTGGCTGGTCGGCGTTGCTTTGGGCTAAAGACGAGGAAAGTTAGCAGCTTAGGACAGCTAGCGTTAACTAACGTAGGTTAGCGATCCGTGTGGGTGAGGTTTAGTGTTACACCGTCAGTGAAGCCCGGAGGTTGTAAACAGTGTTGGAGTAAGAGCAGCGGAGTGTGTGAAGCTGACCTAGTTTACTTACTAGCTTTGAGGGGGGATGCAACAGTTGGGCACGCAAAGACCACTTCGGTAGACGAGGTTGAAGCTGGCTTCCTATTCGAATTTTCCCGTTCCACCTTAAATGGTGCGGCAGTTACGTTCTGGCGCCCCAGACGCAGCCACCAAAATGCTAGTGTTTCAACATTTAAGGTGGAACGGAAAAATTCGAACAAGAAGCCAACTTTAGCTTCGTCTTCTGTGGGCGCCATTATCGCTGCAGCAGCGGAATTGCAGGTGTTTCAGGGTGTGTCGGTCGGCACAGGTAAACTACAGTCCACCACAAGTCCCCTCAGCTCGACACAGGTAAGTTAGAGCACAGCCCACCGTAACTAACGTGAACTCAGCTCTTCAGAAAGTCGGCCCGTCTCAAATGTAAAGCCGCTTGAGGAAGTTGAGGGCGGTTGCTGTTAACGGAGAGGTTAGCAGACAGATTGACTGACTCATATTCGGCGGAATCATAAACGTCGCACACTTTTAAGTAACGGCATATGTCTTTTATTACCTCGTATCAACGGTCATGGTTTGGCTATCTGTATTCAGAGTTGTAAAAGTTAGGTACTTAAGTACGAGTCGATATGCGCTTCATTTCTGTTGAACCACAAGCGCAGACTTTCAAGTTGGCTAGGCTAATTTAGCCAAACAGTCGGTTGTGCTCTGTAATAAACAAACGAGTCGGTGTGCTCCAGAGTAGAGCTGGGCAATAAGACGATATTTATCGTTATCGTGAGAAATTCTAATACAGTATGTCGCACTACGCTTTTCTGAGCAGGTCGTGGAAGTCGCCAGTACTTAAAATCACTTTCCAACTGCATGTTTAATTAAAAAGAGAGCATAATTAGCCCTGTTTATTTGGATTTGGTGCAGCACATTGTGTGAAGTGTTCAATACAAGTAATTGGATTCATTGTTGTTGATATTTTTTTAAAGAAAAAAAAATACTTTGTTGGTTCCAGGAAAAAATAAATATCTTGACACATCGTGGAACGTAAAAACTTCCTGATATTACATTTTGCCATATTGCCCACCTCTAATCGACAGCGTTTGTGTTTACAGCCTTTAAAATGTTCATAAGGATGCTTTTTTGTTATTTCTTTATCTGTTGGTCAGGTTCATCTACTAAAAGATGCAAAGTGGCAATTTAATTTGTGCATTTTGTGTAATTTCTTTACTTAGTAAATGCTTTTTTTGTTTTAAGGACTCTAAAAGGGTGAAATTGCAGAGAAGGCCCTTTTTAATAAGGATGCATATTTGTAACAGTATTGGCAATAATTTGTTTTTGAAGAATTGGCATTGGATAGATTTTTAGATTCCGCTGAAATTTCAAACTGATATGATTGAGCAGAATGTTTAACTACTGCTGGGCCTAATATGCTAAAATGTCTGTATTTTATTCATTTTAATGGCTTTGTAGCCCTGTATAAATGAAAGTTACGTTTCCCTGTAATTCTATCAAGAACGTTTAGTCTGAATGTCTGCATTTTGAAAATGTTTATGTATTGGCAGATATGCACATGAAAGATATTGGCATCAGCCCAGAATTGTCGTATTGTCTGTGCACCGCTACTTTTTAGGGTGCTTTTGCAGACTGCATTAATGTAACTGAACATGATTGAATTTAATGTCAGTATGAGTTGATGGACCTCTTTCTCAGATGTCTTGCTTTACATGACTGCTGCAGTTGCGCTCCAAAACCGCAAGAAAATGGCCGTAAAAACTGGCCAAAATTGTAACATGGTCATAGTCACTTCACTCTGCATTTAGATTTTGGAGGATGGTTTCTCAAGTGTTGAAAGGCTACATGTGTTTAGCAGGCTCATACTGTAAGGTTGGTTATGGTCAGCTTGTTATAGTGACCTTGGCATTATCTGACGTGACCTTGTTACAGCATTTATTATCCAAATGAGGTCTCTGCATTTAGTCATGAGCTCCCGGATCACAAAGTTCAAACGTGTGGTATATATATATGTTTGCCACAGCTGTACTGTCTCATTGAAGCCTGCTAAATGGTATAGGGGCTTAGGAAAGATTGAGAGAAAAGATAAAAGAATGGCGTTGTGAGTACAGTAAAAGACAGGACATGTGGCAGGAAGGCAGGCCTCTCTCCGGTGAAAGAGAAACATGACACTGTCATGCTGTAGGTGTGTCCTTTCCACCTCTAGCTTGCTGACAATTGTTGAAGTGTGAGCTGTGCAAGGGGGCTGCAGTCTTTCATGTCTGTTTCCCCTCAGTGTTGATTCAGATGTACTCTGAACTACAGTGTTTAGGCCAGGCTGTTGTTATGATATATGCTGGCACCCCAAGAACAAATGGCTTTGTGCGGTAGATGAGTGCAGGTGCTGTGTGCTTGGAATGAAGAGTAGGGAAGGAATTCATACGCCGACGCTGATCAAGATTATGTAGCATTCCTTAAAAGGGAATTCTGCTGTTTGGATGACATATGAAATGTCAAACCTTGTTAAGCTCACAACACTCTTAATCCTTTATCCGTTAGTGAAATGATTCATTATGGCTGCTTACTGCCTAACTGGCTCTGGTGCCGGCTGTGGCTTGGATTGTAATGCTAGACTGTGCAGAATTTTAACAGAGAGGGCCCGAAGAGCCGGTTTTGCTTCCAGTTAGGCTTCCTGTTTGACCGTCATGCTGTGACACCACAGCTTCGCTGAACTCACCTTCAGCCCTGGGCAAAGTACTGGAAATACCAGGTATTATCCAGGGGATAAGCATGACAACAAGGTTCTTTTTCCATTCCAAATGTCATAATTTGTTCATCACTGATCACTTTTCTCTATTTATATATTTGTTTGCTATTATTATTATTATTATTATTATTATTAGCAGTAGTAGTAGTAGCAGCAGTAATAGTAGTAGTATTACTACTGCGTTTATGTGGTGTGAACATTACATGAGTGTGGAACAGTAGAAATGGTTCAAAAATTATTTAAAATAATATATTGATGCATTAATATACATTAAACTTAGTTTATTTACTTCTTTTGTGAAGTTACCATTTCAATGATACTGTGTTTTGTTTTGACAGCAATGATGTGCTACTTTTAAAGATTTTTGTGCACTTTTAACGTACAATTAATGAATAATTAATGGTTTCTAATGGAGATATCTCAGTACCTGATCCAAGCACACCCTAGTGTGTTTATATATACTCAGGCCTTTGTGAGGGATTAGGCTGTACCAGGGTTGGTGTGATCCGTCAGCTACTTCTGCTTCTTTTGCTCTCTGGCTCTCTCTGGCTCTCTCTCTCTCTCTCGCTTGCTCGCTTGCTTGCTCGCCATATCCACTTGAGCTGACGTGTATGTTAAAGGCTACCACACAAAACCACAGACTTCACTGGTTGGTCACTGTGTAAAGCATGGTGTGTTTCAGCCAAAAGATACAGCATCAAGTTCTTCTTAAAAACTGACTTAAAGCTCTGAATAGCAACCGGCATCATGAAAAGAAAATTGTGAGCAATCCCCATTGACTGCTATTGAAATTCAAAAGCTCCCGAAACTACATTGGAACAGTTTTAAGAATCTGTAAATGAAATGGTTTGCAGGCAAATGTGTCAGGTCATGTGTCTGAGCTAAATGGTTAAAGTTTCATGTTGTAATTTGAGTGTCCTCTTCTGTGGTGTGTGATATGTTACACTGAAGCAGATGATGTTTGTTCCTCCAGCAAGTATTATTTTTCTGATTGATAGAACCACTGAATTGAGGTTTGTAGCGCTCATGAATACAGTCAGTCTGCAGCCCTGTGGTAAACAACTCTTACATTTATTTGAATCATGTTTAATTATATAACTATATAATCTTTAATTGCATGCTACTGTAGACAAGGAATGTTGTGATGTGGTGGAGTATAGACCTCGCTTTTGGCTAAAGACTGAAAACTGACTGTGAGTCTGATATTTCCACTTCAGATGGCATTTGCATTGTTAGACATGAGGGATTATCTTGATTCTGTATGCTGCTAAGCACTTTCCTGAGCCTGTTGGTGCCAGTAACCGGGTATCCTTCAAAATGTTTTGATATCACTACCGGTACCTATACTCTGACTTTTTCCAGCTTGCATACAAAATGTAATTTAGGCTAGTGGTGATATGACAAAAAAATATGTACTATACTTTAGGACATTTTCACGATACAAGAAATGCATCACAATATTTAGTCTTTCTGGGATTTAATAAGTTGGAACAGACAAAATAGAACTTTTAGTGCCTTATATATGCATGCTATAATAATATTATTATTATTATTATTATTATTAATAATAATAATAAACAACTTAAAGCTACAGTGATTTCAGTGTTTATTTATTTTCATTTTATGTTTTACAGTCTGCACTAAATCCAATAAAACAGACCTTATCATGCTCAGTTTGTCATGAAACATGCAGTGTTTTTTAAATACTGACCATATCCATGGTATGCTCACAAAACCAGATCATAATTTATCACGATAATGATAAAATATCATCATATTGCCCACCCCTAATTTAGACATCCAATCACCAATCTAGATTTTGGAGATGACATTCTTATTACCTCACGAATGTTGAGACTGACTACTTAGGTATTGAAGTTTGCTATTGAATTTTGGTCGTTACCATAAACATATTGAATTTTGATACCCAGCCCTATTTGGGTTTTATAAGTGACCATGTCATGTCTGTAAACATGGCAGTAGGACAGTGCAGCCTATGATATAGTTTAAGCTGTGGTCTTGTGTCACTTTTCTCTGAGGTCACTATTTACTTTGGTAGTATCCTGATAAGAACAATCTTGTTAAATATTCTGTGTCCCATAATGCTATTATTGAGTTCATAATTTACCAAGCAGTATTATGCTGAATGTGTGTCCTTGCAAAAAATGTTCTGATTGTTCTATAAAACCATTAATTCACTTGAGGCCTGTGCTGAATTAAAAGGGTTTCTGGCCCTCTACTTCATTTTAATTACATGTGGTCCTGACAACTGTAAATGGTCTCTTGTAGTACAGGTCAAGTTCTGTCTAGCAAAATGTCTTTTCATTAAAACCTCTTTTCACCCCACAAAAATGTGCATGGACCTTTCAAGAAATGGGACAGCACATTGTGTCTAACTTTGTAAGCAAGTCATAGAGAGCGGCAGTAGCTAATGTAAAACTGTGTGACTTATCTTTATATCTAAATGCCTCTGCCTTGTGAGATCTTACCCAAAACATGCTGGTTCTGCAAACCGTCAAGCAGTTTTTGCAGATGTTCAGAGCAGAAGAACCCCACAGTGCCTTTTACGACTAGCTAAGTGACGACCAATTCTCTTCAGTGCTTT